TTTTTTCTTTTTGCTTATGTGGTGCTGAGGAATCGAACCCAGGGCCTCAGGCATGCAAGGCACGTGCTCTACCACTGAGCCATCTTCCCAGCCCCAATAAATAAATTTTTTAATTAAGATTCAAGAAGCAAGAACAGAATATGTTATTTTCTTAAATTAGTATTCCTTAAACAGTACCAGTTTTCATTCCTTGTACTTAGTAACAAACAGAACAACTACCAAATCCAAGAAATGAAAGGTTTGAATTCAATATACGTCTTTTATAGGCAAAGCCAAGTAAAGACTTACCAAGACAGAATATATATGTAGACATCGATAAACAGGAGAGAAGTCCACCAAATCTTGGGCCCCAGGTACCTGCAAACACAAGATTATCACAAAAAAGTTCAATTAAAACAATTAAGAACAAATACATTTATTCTTACTAGTTAAGTAATTTAAAAACAATGAGTGACAGTTCTAACTGGAAATACAAAAGTGGGAAATTTTTGTGTATACGTATAAAAATAAGTTTCAATGATCAGTGTTTGATCCTAAATACCAAAACTTGCCATACAAGATGAATTAGATGGCCTAACAGACAAGTTCTGAAAGATACAAAAATTAGTGAACAATTAAATCATCATACAATCAAAATACAGTATATACTAGAAGAGGGGAGATCACATTTTTTAAAAAAGTAAAAACGTCACATCTAGAAATAATTCCAGAATATTATAAAGTAAGTAACATATGTTAATTAAACTAAATAGGAAAAGAAAAAAAGTTAGGTAAGAGCTGGAGTCATGTCTTGATGCCTAAATTAGTCTGTTATGCAACCTAGTAATAAATATGTCACAATCTAGATTAGCCTGGATTTCCTCAACTAAAAAATGAAATGACTGGCACTAAAAAAAAAAAGGAGAAAATAAATTACCTGCTAACATATAGAGATTCAACAACAATAAAAGGAGATATTGAAAGGACACATTGAACAAAACAAAAAAACAGGAGGCGTCAGTGGCTTACACCTGTAATCCTAGCTCCTCAGGAGGCTGAGATCTGAGGATTCCAGTTCAAAGCCAGCCCAGGCTAGAAAGTCTGTGAGACTCTGATCTCAAATAAACCACAAGAAAACCGGAAGTGGGATATGGCTCAAGTGGTGGAGTGCTCGCTCTGAGCTGAAAAGCTCAGGGACAGTGCCCAGGCCCAGGTCCACAGCGAATCGGGGGGGGGGGGGAACTAAAGAAATAGGAAGAAATAAAGAAATAATCACAAGAAAGACTTAGCTGAAGATTTTACTGTAACACTAGTATGATTCATCAGAATGTAAGCAGGAGGCACATCTAAATGGAGTTAGACTTATTCCTAATTCCAAGGTCATCATCATTTATTTTAGGTCATAGCTTCTCTAACCAAGATGCTTTCCTTAATGTAATCTACCCACTGTACAATTCAACAATATTCACTATATTTACAATATACACTATTCACTGTATCTACTCTCTTTTCCCTTCAATATTATTATATTTCTGTTTATAAGTTCTGATCTATTGACTGCTCTACTCACATGCTTCATACTCATGAGGACAAAGATTAAATCTCTATATTTAAACACTTCATAGTTAGATACTTTGTAAGCAAGCAAAGCAATACAAACTTTTATGTGAATGTAAAGACATGGCAAAGAACTCAAGATGTTATAGCTGAAGAATAATTATAGTTAAAAGAATTAACTTATAATCATTTTAGGCAGTCTTATTTGAAATGACCACATTAAAACATCTTCAGAGTTACCCCTTTGTTATAGCAAAGTGGACATTTGAAGGAAACTTATCTTGCCAAAAAACCAGAGCCTATTTTATATTGTTAAAAATGGGAATTTTTTTCTTAGTCAGAAAACTTGAGCCTACAGCTAAGCAACCCATAATCTCAAAAGAGAAACTTAAAAAATTATATTGACAATTTTAAACATAGTATTTTAAATATAGTATTTAAGCTCCCTAAAAATATATAATATTTGTTATATAAAATATATAATTTTAAATATTTCAGCTCCATAAAACTACAGTATTTAAGTTACATTTTAAAAGCCACGTAAAAATATATTTAAGCTACTTGAAACTAAGTATACATACAAAATAGATAAGAAAATATGTAACTTTATAAAAGGTTTAATCTGTATAGGAAATGAAAATTCTGTTCTCTAGGATTAAGTCACTAATTTATATTTACAAAAAGGCTGAAGAAATCTTCCCAATTTTGATTCGGAAATGCAATCATAATTTTGTTTTATATGTTCTTCTTCAAGCAGTTTATTTTGTTTTACTTTGTGTCAGAGCCAGACTTTCTCTCAAGGGAAACTGCTGTTGGCCATTCTTTAGACTAAGTCTGGGCACTTTCACATCACACCCATCCTGGGAACAAACTAGCACATTAAAGGACATTTGCCTAGAAATCTGTAATAAATAAACTAACAGGCCCTTACCAAAGAAAAATATATGGTCACTATTGCATTATCATTAGTTTATGTAAACTTAAAAAACAAAAAGATACATCTTGAGAGGTTACAAAGATCTTTTCTATCATCACCGACAAACATTTACACCAAACTTCTATGAGACTCTTTGACATCATTCTATCAGCTACAAACTGGGTAAAGCACTGATTGGTAAATATTGGCTCTACTATTTCTTAGCTTCTAGAACTATCATCTACTTAAGTTCTCCCAAGTACATGTCTGCCTGCTTTGAAAGTACTACAGAGAAATTTAGGCAAAAAACAAATGAGCAAGATGGGGCTTCAGCTCACAATCTTAACTTCTAGTCCCCAAACAGCCTAATATTTAGAAATCATTTTTCCTCTCAGCTCCCCTCTGTGAGAAGCACTAGGAATGAACACCCCGCCAGGGACCCAGAAAAGTGCTGTGAGGATAAAGGTATGCAAAGTATGCACTGACTCATGTTGCTTCCAGCTAGATGTGTTTTCTCTGCTTCCACTAATGAAAAAGAATCACTTACATCTACAGGAAGGCAAAGAGAGAAGAGCAGCACACACTGTACGTGAAGGAATGCTACACGTTTTCACAAGGAAAGAAGACCAAGTTCCCAAAATCTAAATACATGGGGGTGGGGAAGAGTCCAGAACAAAAGGCAGTTTTTTCCTGACTCACAGAAATAGGTCTGTTAAAAGTCCTTATTTTGCCCTCCATTTTAAATGCTGTCTGTCAAGGCTGTCTTCCAATTTCCACCCCCTTTGTCACTCCCTCCCCACCAGTGGCAAAGAATGATTCAAACAGGCTTAGGTTTCAAGGGAGGGGTCCAAGGACACTTTCCTAAGCTAACAATGACTGTCTCTAATGGTTTCTGTCTCCTAACAAAGGCCATGACTCCTTTATCAGCTTCATCTAATTTTTCCTTTCCAAAGTAAATAACACAGCCGTCTGCATTTTACCCATGTCCAAATTTGACAAATCATTATCGACTGAGGTTATAACTGATAAGAGATAACTTTGTGGTAGGACCTTGTCATTTCCTCTCATAAGGGCTTTCTTTCCCAGATACAGCAACATGATTAAAATAGTTAAACATTTCCTCTGCCTGGCAGTCAGGAACTCAAGACTTTAAGATACTAGAGTCTGTATTTCCAGAAGTTCAAATAGATCTGTGAAGACACCAATTGTGGCCATAAACAGTACATGCAAGATTATTTTGCTTTTTTTAACTAGTTATTTTCCTTAAGAATACACATGAAATAACTTCATCACCAAGGACAGCAGCTAATTCTTTATAGTTTCTGAATGGAGAGCATTAGTGCCTTTTGCCAGCCCAAAGCTTACCATTTTTGGTAGGATATTAGGTTCTACAACTAAGATCTGTGCCACAGATGTTATTTTATATAAGTCAAGAGAGTTTGTGTGTGTTACATTATACATATATATCATATAATATAAATATATGTATTAAAGTAAAAGATAAATGACAGCCTATTAAAAGAACTGAGTTTAAGAGCAAGTGACTCTTGTCTATAATCCTACTTACTTAGGAGGCTGTGAGCTAAGGATCACGGTTCAAAGCCAGCCAGTACAGTAAAGTCTGTGAGACATTTATCTCCAACTAACCCAAATAACTTCAAAAAGCCAATAAGTAGAGCTGTAGTTCAAGTGATAAAGTGCCAGTTTGGGGCAAAAAAAAGGGTAGGGGACAGGGCCCAGAACATTGTGGAGGGGTCGGGGGAGGGGGGAAGGGTTAGAGGAGGGAGAAGAGCTGCTAAGTAACCAAGATGGGGAGTAAATAGGGGCATAAGAATTACATTCTTCCACTGTTTTACATTAATGAAAATATTAAGGACTGTATCCACAAGATACCAATAATATCTATCTTTTCAATATCATGACTACAATTGTATGACAAATATTAACAACTCCTCAAAGCAATACTTCCTAATTTTGCTTTTGGAGTATTGTATTCCCTAATTTTGCTTCTGGAGTATTGTTAAACACAAGTTATTTGCAACCACATGAAGGTTCTATATACATGACCAAAATGAGTCTGGAGACAGAGGAGACTAGAAAGTAAGTAAAAACAAATGTATAAATAGGTTTAACAAGAGACACCTGAGAAATGGTCTTATGTACCTCTGAACACAATATTGACTATAGATTTGAGCATTCTAAGTAGACCTAAGAATCTTAGGTGGTCAGAAACACAAACATCTCTGATTGTGAAAATTTCTATAAGACTTCAGAATCTAATTTGTACAATATCTTTTACTTTTTCTAATACAGCTTGGTGAAAAAGTTTGAAAATAGAAGACAAAAAGCTCCTTTGTTTTAACCATTAAAAATATTATTATAAATTACAATAAAAAGGATATTTCAGTTTTAAAATGATAGTATTCACATTTTAACAGATATGTTTTTTTTATATTTTTATCATTAGCTCCTTTTTTTGAAAGGAGTCAGAAGTTAGTAGCTATTTCTATTGCTTATCTTAAAAAAGTCACTAGCCGGGCGCCTGGTAGCTGATGCCTGTAACCCTAGCTACTCAGGAGGCTGAGATCTGAGAATCACGGTTCAAAGCCAGCCCGGGCAAGAAAGTCTATGAGACTCTTATCTCCAATAAAGCACTCAGAAAACTGGAAGTGGTGCAGTGGCTCAAGTGGTAGAGCACTAGTCTTGAGCTGAAGAGCTGAGGGACAGCACCCAGGCCCAGAGTTCACGCCCTATGACCGACAAAAAAAATAAATAAATAAAGATTCAATAAAGAAGGAAGACTGGGGGAAGAATTTTAGGTAGTGACTTGATGCATGTACCTGCTTTTACTGATGGGTAAGCATAATGTTACAAAAGGGGAAGAAGATACAAGGAAAACTTGCTT